TACACAATGTATTAATTTTAGTTAGTTGGTTATGTATTTTTTAAATAAAAAAAAATTTTGAATTTACTTACTTGTAGCCGGAGTTAGAGGCGGTCGGATACTTATGACCGCTACTGTAAATGAGTAATAGAGACTTTTTAAATTTTTGAATGAAATGATAAAAGATATTCTAAATAAAATAATTTATATCTGAAAAGTATTAATATTATTATACATTATAAGAAAAAGGAGAAAAGCACTATCTTTTTTGAAAAATATAAAAAAATAAAAAATATATTTTATTTGTTAGCAAATATTTAAATAAGTAATATAATAAGAAGTCAATTAACTATAAATTAGTATTAAGATATCAGATAACTAATTAACTTATCTGATAAAATAAAAAATCAAATAGAAAATCTGCTATTTAAAAAATGCTATTATTTAATTATTTACTATGATATTGACTATAACTTAGTAAGAAAATAAGAGAAAGGAATCTGACTATTAAACATTTAATTAATATTACTATTTTAATATTTTTATAAAGAGATTTTGTTTATTATTAAAATATTTAAAGCAGAGTTTACAAAAAGGTTAAAAGAATTGCTATATAAATAATTAATATATTATATATAGGTTGATTACTAGGAAAATTAGGTTCTGAGAATTTTTTAGTAAAATTGAGATTTTTATTGCATTTTAATTTTTGATGTTATTAAATTAAAATGTATTAAGCTATTAATTTTAATTAAAAATTTTCAGAACCTGATTTTCCTAGAAATCCTTCCATATAATATGATCTAACAAAAAGATCTTTTAAACTAAAGAGATCTGGCAAATTCATTTAGTAATATTAACAAAAAAAGTTACATAATAAAAAAGATATAGATGAGAAAAAATAGAAGTATTTTACAATAGTATGAATTATTGATTGCCTAATGTTTAAATAAAAAAATTCTGATATTTTAAAAATCATTATGAATTTTAAAAAATCTAATAAAAATTGTGAATGAAAAATTCAAATGTAACAACACTAAAAACTGTTATCAAAAAAGAAAAATTTTTTACTATTAAAGAGTTTGAAAAAAGATACTTATCTTAAAAGTGAATAAAAAAAAATTATATAGAAAGAAAATGCTTATTTTTTGAATTTATTCTTGATTTATTTATTTAATTTACATTTAACTTTACATTTAGTGTAAAATTGAAATTATAGTGTCAAGTTTGCAAGTAACAATAGAATGATTTAAAATAATTTAACCTTGTAATACAATTGCAATTTGAATATAAAAAAAAGCTCAATTTATTAATAGATAAAAAATGCTATATATGTGATATATGAGACATTTTGAAAAAAAGAAAATAATGATAGCATCAATAGTTTTAGTAGTCATTTTTGCTTTGCTAAGATCTATTGATATTCTTTGTATTATTGAGTAAAGATGAAATTTACAGAATAAATTTAGCTATTTTTAAGATTTTCGCTATTAAAAGATAAGTTATTTTTTTGAATATATAACATTCTCTATATTATTGAACTATTTTTTTACTATTTAGGTAAATAATAATAAATTTTTTTATATTTCAACAAGCTGTTACTAGATTTTCTATATTTAAAATATTTAATTGGTTACTATTACATTTACATTTTTTATACACAGGATATAATCAAATCAAATAAAGACATCCTTTACAATTATACCATTTTGTATATAGAAAAATCAAAAAGTTTCCTATTGGCTTTTTTTGAATAAAAAAACACTAAGTTTTGTATAATCTAGAACTTTTTTACGTAAGACCAACTAGTCCATGTAATACATGTATTGAATAAAATAATAGGTTCAGTAATTTCAAGTAAAATGAATATAAAACTTTCTCTGATTTGATTTTTTATGCAAATAAGTTTTGAAAACTGCATATATACTTTATTACTTTATTAATCAATACCGGTTTTGTGAAAAAATTACGTCACACTGTACCTACCGTAAACAGCCTACTAAAGTATCCCCATAGTATAATATCCTCCTCATACTTATATCCGGGTACTATACAAGCAAATCGCAAAAAAAAGGTAATATATAGAATTTTGAAAAAAATCATGCCAATAATAAGTTCTGAATATCACCATATTATTTGTATAATTTTAGGGGAAAATTAATTGTAAAGTTAGTGTTTTTTTAAAAAATAATATTTTGCAAATTTTATGAAATTTGTATTGTACCTGTCAGCTGTTTACGGTACCTACTGCGCAGTTGTTTGATTATCTATTGAGTCTATTTAGACTATTGACCTAAGTATAAATATATAAACTTTACAATTTCTCTCTCATTCTCATTCTCTCTTTCTCTATCAGTAATTCAATTTTTTTGTTCAACATTGCATAATGGTAAATTAAAAATAATAATAGTTTAAACCTTTTAAAATTATGTTCTAAAGTCTACCCTTTTTTGTAGGCTCAACAACCAAATTTCACAAATTTAGCTCAGGCAATTCAAGCAGTCGCACAAGAATTTGCTTTGTTTTCAAACTTGCCGAGCATGAATTTCGAGAGTCGGTTTCGAAAACTTCAACAAGATCTTGAAACCTATATTACCAATAATTCGAATCGAAATTTTAATAATATGATGGCAATAATCCGAAATTCGTAGGTATTTTTTTATTCATGTATAATTTTTAATCAACTATTAGGTAGTTATTACCTTATTCATTACTTTAGGGATGCACGATCTCTTGCACGAACCTTTAATTCTCGAATCTATGATCCAAATGTTAATCTCGAACCTATTCCGGATCTAAATGGAGAGGTTCCGCCAACATTTCCTGAGAATGTAGCAGCTCTTAGAGCACTCACGGGTATGTAAATTAAAATAAGCTTGATTTATTTCTTTAATAATTTATGAAAGTTATCATATAGGTCAACAACTTGACGTTCTCTTGAATTTTTACGATTTGCAAACAAACGGAAGTGTTGCAAATCGCCGGGAACGATTGGCAAGAAACTTTGGATTATTTTATTATAAATGAAATGTGAAGATCTAAATGTCATCACTTTTTATATTTTTTATGAGATAATATGGGAGGTAAGCTGTTACGGATCATGATTTACTATGTTCGTAAACTCGATTTTAATAGAAACCTCCCATATATATCAGCAAATATTTTTATAAATAAAATAAATATTGAAATTGCTATTTGTTGTGCAACAAACATTGAAAACATCACAAAGCCCATCTTATACATGTAGACTTCTTCATGTATCTTTGAATTCCCGTGAGCTTGATTTTTTTAAAAAATTCGTTTTTATTTAACAATCTTTACAAAAACATATTCGGAACACGTAAGAATCTTGGTGAAAGGTCACAACCATCTAATTCTCCACATTGTGCGCGTGATAGCTGAAATCTTTTAAGAATATGACCGAATCTAAAAGTCCGAAACTCTAGTCTGAAACTAGTACCAAAATCTAAAACTCTGGTCGAAAATATACATGGATCGAAACTATTTTTAATATAAGCCGAAACTACAAGCATTTTAAACCTTAAAAATTCCATTTATTATTTATTATAGTGTATTATTTATAAATCATTAATTCTCATCCATTTCACGTTCTGGATCCAATATAACAGTTTGTCTTCTTTGACAAACTATTAGATCATCGAGATCCAATATCTACTCTAAAAAAAAGCATTGAGTCATATCTATTATCGAATCAACTACATTTTCAAATAAAAAAATCAAAATCTTCATTCCATAATAGTATTATCATTTTTCACTCAATGAATATCAATCGCATAATAAGGTAATTCCTAATAAGGATGCAATTTGCACATTCCTTCTACCCGACCTACAGCCAAATTAACATGCATCTGACCATAAACCAACAAACTGAGAAAGAACGCTCACAAGAGGCACTATGTGAAGTTATGGCAAAAAGTAGAAGTGCCAAAGCTTGCAACTCCCATTCATCTTTTGTATTTTGAAAAGTCGCTCACCAGATAATTGGTGTAACTGATTTTATTATATTTGCATTTAAGTAAGTAGTTTTCCGCATGAATCCACATAAGTTTCCAGATTTGTCCTGCTTTGAGAGTGATACTATGAAATTTTTTTGGATTTAAATATAAAAATTTAAATTTAAATTAAATAATTAATGATTTCAACTTACCATGATAACGAGGAAAAGATCAGAAAATTTATCAAAACGCTCATTAAATTTAATCACACAATGATTTTAAATTGGATATTTTGGTTTGATATACGATAAATTGCATTTGTTAATGATAATAAATGAATTTAACAATCAGCAGCAAGAATTGAATAATTCGACAATTTTCATAAAAACTTCGGTCATAAAGTAATTATTTTATATAAAATGATAAATCAAATTAATTACCTACCCTCACAATTTGTGATGAATGCCTTATCCGCTTTCCACCTTTTCTTGAGCATATTCAGTTCGAAATTTTTAATGACAAACTGCCGACACATTTATTATTTACTTTGTTTAAATGGCGGAATGCTTATGATGTTACCGCTTTTTAAATCTACTAAAAATGGATGATAAATACTGAAGTATGAACCATGAATATCGAAGAAACTTTGTTTATTTTCAAAAAATATAGCAATAAAATAATTGCCAATAAACGATTGAGACCAATTGATATCTTTTAACTTGTTGACTTTTGTTACAAAAAGGGGAAAGGGAAATCATGTTAAGACATCCAAAACACGAGCGAAATTACTCATACGGTACCATAGTAATTTGGTCTCAGATTAAACATAAAAACAACTCCCGGCTGTTTTAATGTTGTCAATGTGGCTTTGTAAAAATATGGGTAGGGTCTATTGTTTGGTCGATTAAATGTGTTCAGATAACTAACAGCGGATCTTTGTTTAATTTGAATATGTCTTCGCGTTTTTAAAATGGGTGGTAGAGAATCCAACATTTAAACAAAGGTATCTGTAACATTTTATTTATTGTATATATCAAGCTTGTATGTAATATGTATGAAAAAGATCAACATCAAAGTATAATTAATCTTATAATGACAATATTGAAATATATATATATATACCTTTTAAAATTTATCTTTATAGTTTATTTAATTAGTTAAGATATTTTTCACGTCCGGGGTTAAGTATTAGTTATCCCCTGATTAACATCATTATACAAATAACTTATACCTACTGGCGATCAAAGTTCAATATATTACTTGTCAATCAGGGGATAATTCTTAGCGGCAGAAATTTTCTATGAAAATTACGGGTCAATTCCTTTATAACGTTTTCATTTCTATGAACTTATCAAATAGTCACTGTTTCGCCTTTTATCAAAGAAATTACTTCGATCGCAGATTCGTTAAAGAATGTTCAACCATAAATGACCAAACAACAAAGCTTTTGTGCCAATCACTTTTTAAGAGATGATCATCAAATAATATTATTTCGCGGCCAACCCTACTCGGGAATCGTAATAATTAATCATCTATTTATGAATTTTACCATAAACAATGTTAATACACAATGGGTAAATGAATTAATTATTCTGACGTTTTTTTTTAAAATGTAGGAATATTAATTTATTTTATAAAAAATTTGTTATAATAGATGAATCTAATAATGATATGTCCTCCGACATCCAATTTATCAATTAACGTCACCACCAACAACCTTCTTAATAAACGTTATTATAAACAAAACCAATTCGAGATTTCAATTACTGTTTCAAATAATCACCATATCAAATTTATTCCCAACTTCTACAATCCTATTAAAATTTTTTCTTTAATAAAATTTGGAATAAAATAAAAATTTAAAAATTTCTGCCCTTCATCTTAAGAAAATTATGAGGGTAATTATCATAATGAACATTTGACAAATCATAGGAAGGCTTGTTATTTCATTTTCCCTATATACATTCAAGTATCAATCAACGGGAATCCATCTACAAATAAATTAGAGAAATTAGAGAAACGCGTTCACCTGTCAAGACTTCCGCCACTCCTTCCATCATTTGAAATTATTTTTGTGTAATCTTTTATTAGACACCATCAGTTCGTTTTAATGTTCACATTTATTAGCAAGATTGGCCTATTAAATATCAAATTGAGTTGCCCATACAAAACGTTTTACGAAAGGTGATGTAATGATGGGATCGGTCCTTTTATTAGATAATTTACGTGGAAATTTCTATTACTCTTTTTTTCAAGATTACTACATGATTTTTTGTATTACATCACATCATTACGGACTAGTTCATTTCTGTTTCTAATATTAAAATAATTCCCGCGTAGTCTTCTTGTGAATTAATAAATATTCACATTCTTGACTTTTCCATTCCGGTTCATCAAACGCTAAATTTGGTTAAAGAATGTTATTCACTCTTAAATATCACACGCTGCTTTTCACGATAGCGATCTTTGCGATTTCATACATTTGTCATAAGCAGGATACATTGTTGAGATAATGTCAAACGTAAATTAGTTAAAAAGTCAAGTGACAAAAAATTTCATTATGATGTAATCTGATTATTAAAAAAAAAGGTGTAAAATCGTCTTGAATTTCCCTTTTCTTCTCTTCTTTTTTTTTTTTACCTTGTTATGAATTCAAATTTTTAGAGATGACCGAAAACTTAAAGATCGCAAAAGATGCCATCATTACAGGACATGGATCAACAGCTGCTGGAAGTGTTGGAACCGTTGCATCTGAAATCGAAGGTACTTTTTAATCTTGACTTTCCTTTTTTATGTCAAATTGTCGTTAAAATAACAAGGATTCTCTTGAAATTTATTGATTTATTTATTTTAATTTATTTGATTATTTTTTTTTTTAAAAAAAAAAAGATGATGTAATTAAAATAGAAGTTCTAGAAAAAGATTCGAGTGTTACAGGATCAAGTGTTTATCGTACAAATGAAGTTATGACTGAAGTTATAACTGAAGCTAGAACTGAAGTTATAGAAGATACACAACGACGAGAAAAACGTAAACCATCTTATTTGCGTGGAACAAAAGATGTTGTTATGGGATCAATTAAGGTATGATTAATTAAATAATCAATTATTATCTTGAATTCATGATTTTCGCTTACATGAATATTATAGCAAGGTTTTGGTAAGGTTTTTGGCAATGATGAAATGAAAGGAACCGGTAAAAATCAAAAAGATTCCGGTAAAGAAGAAGTTCGTAAATTTAAATCTAAAAATCAAGTTATTTCTGTTGTTTACCACAAGAACGGCAAAAAATGATAAAACCATGTGAAAGAAGAACGATTAGGCGTTAATGGAGGATTTATAATGATATTAGTTTAGGTTTTGCTTATATAATGAATTTTAGAACTATTTTAATATAATTTTTTTAATTTGCTTTTTACCTTTGATATCATAGAATGATTTCTTTTGCATTAATAGATGAAAATAATGAACCAATTTAATGATCAAGCGTGTACGATTCCTCAAAAACGATGAATGTTTACAAAAGCATTACTCAATGATATCATCCTTGCATAATAATGTAATACAAATATGAGTGCATGGATTTCTACATCTTAGAATTCGGAATCACATTAAACATTTAAAAATTTAATGTATAATTTTATTGTTTATGAGTGACAAGATAGCAAATAAACTTTCCTTTGGAGTTGGTGTAACATTGAAACCAATTCGGAAATTGTGAATTTTTTCGTATTTAGCTTCAAGAATATTTGTCACATAGTATCACACCCCTCCAGTTTCCGTTTTTACTATTTATTCAGGGATCATTTTTTTGAGTAGCGAAATCTTATTTGTCACGTACCTATTTGTCACAGTTATAATAAGTTTAGGATTAGAGGGTTTTAGATTCAGGTTTTAGCATATTATTGGTCAAATATCACACGTCCGAGAATTTTGATGGTGAAAAAGGAATTGTTTCTTCTATTTTATTATTAAGATTAATTAATTTATTGTTACATTTAGAATTACATCCAAGTCTATATATTTTTTTTTTATACATATATTTTAAATCCATTAAAGTTTCGTCCTTATCAGGATCTACTGCATCTGCAGAATAATTTGCATAGTATAAAATGAACTTGCGCTTCGATAAAAAATACTTCCCAATCGTAAAGTATTTCGTACAACACGTGGTACTTAACGAACAAATTGTTGATTTCTATAATTGGTCCGAGTTTTTGAAATTTTCATTCTTTTTTGGTGACATGAACAAAACAAGATGCAGGTATGGTAATACGATTCCACAAAATTAAATCCATAAATAGCATGAAATTATTTTCCCAGTAAATGGTAATTTTTCTCTTTCAACTCGCCTTTTTATTTATTTATTTATTTTTGATTTTTTTTTCTTCTCTTTTTTTCTTTTCTGATTAATTTAATTAGTTGGTTTTTTTTTTTTTTTTTAAAAAAAAAAAAAACAAAAACAAAAAAAAAAAAAATGTTTCCTACTAAAATTCTTAAAGATATTTCGATAGATCTTAAATATGCGATTCCACCCAGTAATAAAAAATGCATAGTAACAATTTGTTTGAAAAAAGATCAATTATTGTTAGACGTTGTTAGAAGGTTTATGAATGATAACAAGATCCCTTGCTATCTAGAACTTTCTTTGCTTTCTGTCATTGAGTCTCTCATGAAGGAAAGTTTACGTATAGATATTGAAATTAATAGGAAAAGTAAGTTAAGATTGATTTGATCTGTTTTATATTTTAAAAGATGGAAACTTGATTTTTGATTTCTTTGTTTAGTTGAAAGTGATTTGGAAGCAAGAAATTTTCGTAAAAACCTTGTATCAAAGTATAAAACTCACACCGTTAGATACAATGACTCCCCAGCAGAGGTATGCCCAAATCAAATTAAAGTAGTTTTAATTATGTAATAAATTATTATCACTATTTCTATTCTTTTTTTTTAAAAAAAAAAAAATCCCTTATTCTATCTATCATTAGGATAATTTCCCAAAGGCGCACAATACTCTTGTCCTTTCTCCGATCCCTTCCATCTTTGATACCCTATTACAGTTGGAAGAGAAATATAAACAAGCGATTATGGAAATTGTGTCAGCTCGCGAGAATGAGTTGGAACATATTCAAGACAAGTAAGTCACTTGTAAGGATTTGTATATAAAATTCGTTCGCAATCTAACATTAAAGTCTGATTTGATTAATTAGGCATCATAAAGAGATAGATGAAATCGTATTCAGTTATAATAATGGTTTAAATAATCTGGTCGAAAAACATCGAGAGGTATTTATTAATGATCATTTTGTTTTATTCTTGTATAAATCCTTTCTTATTTCTCACTTCCTTTTTTTATTAGGATGTAGAGTATAAACAAGCCACATTAGCAAGTGAACTTGAGGACATCAAGCGAACGCAAAAAAATGAATATTGTGAATTTGTGGTTAAACTATATGAGGCACATCAGCGTTGGATTGCAGAACATCAATCAGCATCAGATCCAAATTGGACTTTTAGATTAGATGGCAAAGATATAGTTTCTGAAGTAATATCCTCTTTAAAAAAGAGCCGAAAAGATCTATCTAAACAAATATTAAGATTCAACAAAGGACATGGCGCAAGAAGTCATCATGGTAGCGTTAGTTCATTATCTGAGGTGTTATCTCCCGTAATGCCTTCGCCACCTTCTCCCATGTTTTCTCCAGTTTCATCATCTTTTAGTGGTAATGGAGACGATAAGATCATGACCTACTTTAATGTGTGAAATTTCGGATTGTAATTGTGGTATAGGGAAATTATCATTTGTTTGTTAAAGGAATTTTGTCATGACATTTAACTTTATTTTATTTCATTTTATTTTTTTTTATTTTATTTTTTGGGGGGTTTTAGCATGATGATAATCCTGTTTCCATGAAAATGATCAACGAGATTCAAGAAATGGGATTCAATTATGATCAAGCCAAGGTTGCCTTGGAGATGGTTAATTGGAGTATGGTAAAATCTTAATTTTAACTTAACAACTAACTTAGGATTGGTATTTTTAGCATAATTTTTATTTTTTTGTTATTTTTTTTTTTTTTACAATGTTAGGAACAAGCCGTTGCTTTGTTGTGTGAACAATTAGAAAGGGTTGACGCACAAATAGCAAATAATACGAGTTTGCCTCCAAGACGCACGTCTATTCCATTTGCAAGTTCCCCACTTAAAGAAAATCCTTCATCAATTGGTAAATCAAGGAACAAATCTTTGCGCAGACCCAAATTGGCGATATTAACTAAACCAGAAAAGAAAAATTGGTCACCAATGTCATTCTTTAATCAAAAACAGCCAATGGTAACTGCACCAAGTACACCGGTCAAAAGGTTTAGTGGTTGGTTAAGCAGAAAAGTAATGGATGATGATGTGAATGGGTGAGTGAAGGAGCAAATTGTTTAAAGTTGTAATCTTTTTTTTTTTTGGAATATTAATTTTATTTTTCATTTATTACAAGAGATGAACCCAACTTGCATTTAGCTGATAATACACAATTGATGGAAAGCTTTACGATTTCACTTGGTAATCAAGTGAAATCAACTCACAACCTTCGACTCTTGGTGTCAGACATGGATGATTTATTTAAATCATCTAATGATACCGCAAAAGATATGGCTTATAGAGCTCAAACGGCCGCGAATTTATATTCTCAAAACTTGACGGCCATTGTTTTGATATTAACGCCAGGTGATTGGGCTAACTACAAATTGGGTAAAAGTGCCAACAAAGGTACTTTATGATTTACATTTTTTTTTTCCCAAAGTATTTTAAGTATTGGCAAACATTTGACAATAATATTTAACTTTTAATAACATAAACATCAGCATTTTTTTTAAGGTGTAGAGAATCAACAGAATTTCACTTTAAAGATGTTGAATCGCAACTAGAGGCGATTGAAAGAGATTTTGGTAGATTTGAAGTGCAAGAAGGTTAGCGCATATATATATATATATATACAAACTTATTTAATAATCGTATATTTAAATAATTAAAGATCATAGTTTGTTATTTCAGGTGATTTTTTTATTACAAAGCATTCGAATCTACCTCTTGTTCATGTTGTATTTCATTTAGTAATTGAATTTGAATGTAGGTAATCCGGAATATGATATGATATTATAGAATGATCATGATCGTGGTCTAACTTCATATCATTACTTTATTTTTAAGCAATCACAAAATCAGAGCTTACACACAAATCTCGCGTGATGGATGGATTAAGGAACATATTAAGAACCGTCGATAGATTTGATATTGCAAGTATGTCATTACCATTCTTATTACTTCCATCCAAAATTGATCCATTCTCAGATCCGACATTGGATGAAAATATTCTTTACAAGAGGGGTGAATTAGTATTGAAATGTATAAGAGGATTTATGATACAAAATTCTAGACTACCAAAACGTGTTAGCAATGAACAAGAACAGGAAGCTAAAACCGTATCTTTCTTATTAAGTAATAATGTCTGCGAAAGACAATTTCATGATTTTAAAGGTTTATTAACTAGAACTTTTAAAACTAGTTAATTCGAAAAGAGTAGTTAGTGGTAATCTATTTATATATTTATTTGTTTTATGTTTTGTATTTGTAATCGCTGTAGTCATTATTAATGTATTAATGATCACAGTTTTAATTATGATATTTTCCCTTTCTTAGAATTTTTTTTTATAATTTAATAAAGTTTTTTTTTTTGGATTAATTAATTAAATGCTATACCCCATCCCATGAATTGTGATAAATTTCTATATAAATCTTTTTTTTTTAACTTTAATCATCTTTAGAAAGGTTTATTTGAGAAAGTTATTTTTAGACGGTCATAAAAATAGTAGGGATGGCGCAGTTTGGATAAATAATTGTGTATATTGCATAAATATCATTGATGCGCGGGTTTTCATTTTGAAACTATTATTTTTTTATGGATTAGAATTCTACGATTTCTTTCTCTACATGAATGTAATTTTTAAAAACCCCCTTCAATTATATAATAAACTTATTTTTAATTTGTTGGATCGGGAATGCTTTATATAGAAATTTATTATTATGCACGGAAATTTCTTTTTTTTCTAAAAATAATATGTAAGACCTCGCACGCGTTCTTTGTTTACATTACATCATATTCCTTTATTTCTATTGATAATTAAAATCTCCAAATAAAATCCACTTTTCAAAGTTATTATGTCACAATCATATAAATAATTTAAATAATTTATTAATTTTCGAACCTATATCAATTGGTTCCCAATTGGGGATCATCAATAAATATGTCGAGTTTGCCAAGGAAAAAACGTTATTTTATGTTTTGAAAATAAGAAATTGAAATGTAACAATGGATAGTGCTCGATTTCCTTTGATGAATTCATTAATTGTTTTGTGAACGGACTGGACCGGAGGTAATAGCAACTTATTCTTATTTTGAATGACAATAGATGTTAATTTATTTCAATTTTTCCGAGTCATTTTTAACCTAAAATAAGTAAAAGTTTATTTGAATGATATCATTAATCAAAAATATTTTCCATAAGCAAGAAAAAATTAAACTCACATGAATAATCGAAAGAATAAATTATATATCAAGGAGGTAAAACAACTAAAAGTATAAAACATCATGTCTTCTTTTCTTTCAACATTACAATTTTTTTTGATCTTTTTTTTTTTTTTTTTGTTTTGTCTGCATTTTCTCTCAACAATCCTTTTTATTATTATTATTATTATTATTATTAAAAATGTTCTCGAATACCAAGGATGCTACCTTATGTAGACCAATGCCTTCATTTGAAATTGTATATGTTGAGAATGGAATTTTTCACGATTTCACCTTTGATAATTATTTAGGGAAATGTAAGGATGCATATACATATATAAATTTATCATTTACACGCTTTTATAAATTTGAATCGTTGATTAATCACTTGTGATTGCGTCTTTTAGACATCGTTTTGTTCTTTTACGATATAAAGGATAATCCTAAAGTTTGTCCCGAAGAGGTGAGTCTTTAAAGAATCGTAATTGTGAATTCACGCGTAAAAAAAAAAAGACGATTCATTTTGTTTGATTCTTTACTTAATTAGATCATTACAATATCCAAGAATATGAAATTATTCAAAGAATTAGATGTGGTTTTATTAGCGGTATCAAATGACAATGTTTTCACGTAAGGATTTATAAAACTTCTTTTTAAATTAATTCTTTTAATAATAATAATAATAATAATAATATATTTTTTAAAACCGCGAAATTTTTATTTTTTTAAGCCTTACTTCTTTAATACTTCACAATCATTTAATGCATTACGAGCGAAATTCCCTTGATCTCGATAATATGGTTAATATCAATTTTCCATTGTTGGCCGATAAAAACAATGATCTCGCGAGATATTTTAATGTATTGAGTTTCAAAAATTCCCAAATTTATCAAAAAAAAGTAATAATTATAAATCCTCAAGGAATCATAAAAAAAATTTACGGTAATTAAAAGATCTATTTGGATTTTTTTTTTAAGGTTTTTTTTTTTCATTATTATTATTATTATTTATTTATTTATTTTATTTACGAAGATTTTTTTTTTTTTTTAAGATACATCTATCAAGAAAAATGTTAATAAAGTTATTAAATCAATTCAGAAATTTAAATTTGCTGATAAATCAGATGAGAAATTAAATGATAAATTTAATGATAAATTTCATGTTGAGAAACGAAAACATAATAGAAAACGAAGCGGAAAATTTTATAAGGTAATTATGTATTTTATTTTTTTTTTTCTTCCCTTAAAAAGAAAAGAAAAAGAAAAATACTTTCTTTTTTGATTAACATTTTTTTTTTTTTTTTATTTTCTTTTTCCCCTCAGATTTTTGACTTCGTTCAGTTTTTTAAATAATTCATGATATAATTCATTAATTTATGATATAAGCATTACTTTATTTAGACATTTGTAGTAAAAAAAAAAAAGATCTGGGTTATGTTTGCTTTTTTCATTCAATGTTTTTTTCTTTATTAGATATACAATAATACGATTATGTAATTTTCACGATTTCACATTAAAAATATTTTACAAACAATAAAGACGATTATATAATGTTTATAAATAATTTCGTTACACAACAAAATTAATTTGTTACGGATAAACTTAGGTTCGACACGTTAAGCCAATGTATTTTAAAGTTTACTATTTAAACGAGCGAGCATTGACACATTATTTGCGTGCGTTAAATAAAGACATAATTCCAAATGTTGGTAATTACGACATTTGTTTTTGCTTTTTTTTTTTGTAAAACGTTTATCAAATTTAATTTTTGGTAACTTTCTATACCAAAGAAATTCTATGAATTAAGGTTTTATTTATTGATGACATACACAAAAGAAATGACGCTTCTAATTGGTCTGGGATTTACAGATCGAAGATAGATTACCGTGTTTTTGATAGAAAAATCCGTAAAATGATCATCGAACCTACCCATTTCGTAAAGGTTTGAAGCAGGATATTTAAGGCTTCATTGATAACTCTCTCAAGCTTAGAATGATATGGAATATCTTTGATCCACTCAACTTTTACAATGACCGTGGATGGTGTATTCATGCGCTTTAAAGTAGAAACTTGTGATAACAAGAGAAATAATTGGTTATAACTAAGAATCAGGGCGCCATTTTATTATTTTTTTTTTATTTTGGTTTAACATGGTTCTAGGTTCAACCCTTCTTTGGTTGAAACTCAGAAAGCAAGCTACATGGTAATGTTTAGAGCCATTTAGCAGTCTTATGGTATCAATGAATTCATTCACGAGAATGCGAATTACGTCGAAGTTTATTGTGAATTTTTCCGTGAATTGTAATACGTTTGCTCTCGAGCTTTTCATATGCAACGCGATTGCGGTAGATGCGTAATATTGTTCCTACTTCATTCTACCAAGTAACTTGATTAAGCATATTCGTATGATCATTATTTTTTTTTTTTTGTTGATCTTCAAATGTCAGGTCTCAACTTGTGGAACTTTTAGGAGGCTGAAGTCCCTGTACTGTACAACTAGGTACCTATATGTCCACTTTATCACCTAATTAATCATTCATTATCCAGCAAATTTATGTAGTAGAAAATCTTTTTTTAAAGTATAAAAAAAAAAAAAAATTTTTTTCGGAGAAAGTAAATTTTATTTTTTTTTTTTCAAAAAAAAAAAAAAACTTATTTTTATTGACATATTGCAGTGTTTATTTACTAACTGTAATGTTTAAGATTAATCCAATTCGATTTTAGGACAACTTTTACGGGAAGAATTTTTTTTTTCAAAAATTTCTTGCGGATTTTTTTTTTTTTTTTGAAACAACAAACGGTTTTTGACCAACCTTATAATAAGGAAATAATCTGCTATGTTCTTACTTGTTACTTGACATGTGATTCATCTTAAAATGTTACATATATATACATATTGGCCTGCAAGACTTGCCCATGTGACAACAATGTAATATATTGAATCCTAAATTTATTAGAATATATTAGCAGATGATTCCTCGCGTAAATTAGAAGGAATGTTCAAAAGTACAAAATAAATAGGAGAGAATGCTGATTGTCAAGAAAGACATTGTTTTAATTGTATATATATATATATATATTTTTGATAAAGAACCTGCGATTAAAAAGCCTCGATTTGTAAGAAATTGAAATCATATCACATAAATTTGCATGTACATTGCAGCAATAGCATGACGGATTATCGGGATTTCATGATTGTCAGCATTTTCTGAAACCATAAACGCGTAAGATGCCAAAGTAACACATTAAAATGATATATATAAAACAATAAACTTTAAAGGGTTATTATTTGGAAAATAATTTTTTTTTCTTCATAAAAAAAATAAATCAAATCAAATCAAATCAAATCAAAATTAAAAAAAATTAAAATTCAAAATCATGGAAGTAGAATCAACAACCACCACCTTGACATTGGATTCCGCAAACACTTTACAAGACGAGGATTTATTACTTTCCCTAAAACCTTCCATGGATCTACCCCCACCCCCCGTCAATAGTAGTAATGGTGGTACGGAACTCGAACGTCGCGAATCAACCGACTCCAACTTTTCCCTTCGTCCAAGTTACAAGCAAAAGTAATTTTTTTTGATCCCTGACCGCAATTTAACTCGATTCCCTCGATGATTAACGATGCCAATTTTCTTTTACAGATTCAAACCACTTGTAGCGAAACAGATCATTCAAAATATTTTACATCAAAGATTAAACGATGCTTTATATGATAAAGATCAAGCCCCAGGTTGGGCTCGTGAAATTTCTCAGGAAATAAAACAAAAATTATTAGGTAATCGGTAACCGCTTTGTTATCACATGTAGAATTTACCATTAACCGATGGAATAATTACGTACGTATCGCTAATTAATTTTTTTTTTTTTGGAAATCTCATTAGAAATGGATTTGAATCGATACAAGTATATTGTCAACGTATCCATCATGGAGAACAGATCGGCCGGGACAAGGTATTGATTCGTCAAAAATGTCTGCACATGCTAAAAGAACCCTTATTAAAAGAAAAGTTATTGTGTGTTTCTAGGATTCAATGCTCATGCGCTTGGGATAGAGACACTGACAGTGTCGCACATGAAACCTTTAAGAATGTAAATATAACGGCGTTGTATAACATAAAGAAAAGGTGTTGTGTTGATCTAACCTGTTTTTTATATGTAGGATACAATCGTATGTACCATCATGGCATTTGGCGTTTACTTCTATTAAGAAAGACACGTTTTTTATTCTCAGAATTTCCTTTTCAATGATTCCGTTTTTCTTTTTAAAAAAAAAATTTAAATAAATTTAAAAAAAAAAATGATTATAATAAATAGCAATACAAAATCTTGTAATTATAAAAAGAATAAAATTTTCTTTATTTAAATTTTTAATTCAAATAAAATACAATGTGTAAAATTTTTCTAAAGCGCGCGAAAATTATTAAAGTAGGTTTATACAACGAACTGATTATTTCATATCTCGTATGTAAAAATGTTGTGTCATTTCCTAACCAGAACCCAAACTTTTTGAAGCAATGTCTATGCCAATGGTTGTTATCTTCTAACGAGGTCCGCAAAGAAACCGAACTTTTTGAGGCAATTTTGTTCCAATGGTGTCATCTAACGAAGACCGCAAAGAAACCGAACTTTTTGAAGCAATATCTGCACCAATGGTTGTTATCTTCTAACGAGGGCCGAACTTTTTGAAGCAATATCTGCGCCATTGGTTGTTATCTTCTAACGAGGTCCGCAAAGAAACCGAAAATTTTGAAGCAATATCTGCACCAATGGTTGTTATCTTCTAACGAGGACCGAACTTTTCGAAGCAATATCTGCGCCAATGGTGTCATGTTCTAACGAGGACCGCAAAGAAACCGAACTCTTTTGAAGCAATTTATACTCGGACCGAATAGAACGAACTTTTTGAAGCAATATCTGCGGGTTTTCTTTCAACGAGGACCGCAAAGAAACGAACTTTTTGAAGCAATTTTGCTTCAAAAGTTGTTATCTTTTTAACGATAACCGCGAACATTCTGAAACATATTTTAAAAAAAAATAAAAAGATAATACCCGATCAAGCATATCCATAATATTGATAAGCTAGGTCGAGTATCCTTTAACGAAAATCTAGCCTATAAATTGATACTATAAATAAAAAAGGATTACACAAGCTAATTTGAGGTGATTTACTTCCGTCAAGTTCTGAATGAAGAATTTCATCAAAGATGAATGTTGATTTGAATTTTATTTCATTTGTTTTTTCGTGTTTAATTGTTTAAATAAGGATTGATTATCCATATTATAACTTAGGTATTATAATCGATTGATTAAATAAATAATTTTCAACAATTTTTAATTTGTGAGGACGTTTTGTCAGTTTTGAAGTGAATTGAATTTGTAAAAATTTGTAAGGGATTTAGCTTTTGGTTTTTGGGTTTTTTTTTTTCTTTTTATAAAAAAGGTTGTAATTTTGATTGATTTGATTGATTTGATTTAAAAATTGAAAAACTTTCCTTCGAGAGAATCGTTTCTTTATATCTTTACGAAAAGAATTTCGCTTTGATTGTTTAACGATATGATTCTGCCACCTGCAGCCGTCATGCACTTATGCACAAATATTAAATCAAAAATCTCGCGTAATCAACATTTAATAAAACTAATAATCCGAGAAATTTTGGTAACACAATTTTCGATTTACGAGATATAATTATTGCTTTTGTGTTTATTTAAACAATGAGTCAGATAACAATCCTATTGATGATTGGTAAGAAAAAAAAAAAAAAAAAAAATTAATATAAACGAAAATTTGTTCATTGAAAATGATCTGATGCGATGCGCTCTGCGAAAGAAAACTTGTTTTCTATGCATACTTTTACTTTTAATTTCAAAATTTGAAAGAGAACAAATGCAATTTAGTCAAATGATTTATAAAAGCTCACTTTTTTTTTTTTGCGGAATCTCGAGTCTATAAAAGATATTTACAATAAGATCAGAAAACATTTTGTTCACAACTTCTTCTAGGCATAATCTCCCTTCCGCCTCGTCTCTTTTCGGTCCAGTATCAAAATTATTCTAATGCAGTGATTACGTGTTTTCTACAATCAGCAAATTTCAAATGAAAATGATTCAAAAGCTCAACGTTCAAAAAGAACCCAAACTTGTTATTACATCGAAGGCTACCTTTCAATTTCAATCAAAATGGCATTAATCAGATCGTTATTGTTCTCATTCCGTACGCGTACGACTTTTTTAAAAATCTTTTTCAGGTGAGCTTCGTTTAATCTTGATGCTTCATTATGTAATTACTTACCCATTTGGAAACAATCAACGACATATCCGCGAGTGAATGAAACGCAATCCTGGGGAATCTTCCCAGAATCCACCTTATTTTTGATCAACACGACTTTTTCATTGGTTCATTCACATTTTAACATATACCCTCTTATCAAAAAGTTCGATCGGATCTATGGGGAAAAAGAGATCATTGACAATAATGTTCTGATAAGCTCGATAAAAAATTTTTTTAAAACAAGGTACCCTCCATTATCTTACTGCAAAATCACATCAATCACATGCTGATTTATTTATTTGATCTATTTCAATCTATTTTTGGAAATCGTGATTCATTGTGTATTATTTTAAGGAACATCGGTCAATCTATAAATAAAGAGTAATTAAGTTGATCAGAAATTAATTTAACCTTTTTTTTAAGTTCATGAATAATGAAGTCGGCTTATTTATGTCATCGTACAACAATGTACGACAATCGGTGTGCTAAAATCAAATTATTTTTTTCAATGGTTTTTTTCCCACTCTGCGTTAGAAAAAATATTTGAAAAATAAAATAAAATAAAAAATTAAGAACCCATTTGCAACCGCCAGGAGATTAATAGAATATAGAATATAGAATTTATAAAAGAATCGCATTTTGGAACACATAGTGTAAGAATTGACATTTAATAAAAAGAAATTTTTATTTAGACTCTTTTTTTTTTTTTGTTATTTATCATTAAACAAATTATCATGGATCACTTTTTCCCGTTTTTGTTTATAAGGTTCAAAAATCTAATCTAGATAAATAAATAGCCTTCATTGACATAGTAGTTAATAACAAGAAAAAATAATATTGCTATTTAAAACACACGTATATTGATGAAAGTTCCAAAGAAATTAAATTTATTCGAAACGTATAATAAATTTGTAGCATTGGGACAGGTTTTGAGAAAGATGGGCGGTGTTCTCAAAAAGCCATCAGAGGCTTACGCGGATGACAACATCTCATCACCAACGATTCAATTGATTTCAACGGAACACCTTGACGGAGTGCTTGAATGGCGTCATAGAACTTTTTGGGATTGTGTAGAATGCGGTTATCCAAGGTCCGGATATAGTTGGTGTCAAAATTGTGAATCGTATCGATTTGAACAGCAATTCCCACATTGGACGAGCGGTAATATAGAGATCGATGATTTTATCCGGACATCGCAAAAAAATGCTCAAACGTCTCACGACTACCTGGAATGGATACCGTATGATTATTTTACTGAGGTCGAGTATTTGACAAGCGGTGGATATGGTGATGTCTACTCCGCGACATGGTTAGAAGGACCTCGATGGGCTTGGGACGAAACTGATCAAATGAGAATAAGGACGGGTCCTCGAATCGTTGCGTTAAAGATCCTTGACAATTCACAAAACGTCTCGACAGATTTTCTAAATGAGGTATGAAAATTTTTCTTTTTTTTTTTTTTTTTTTTTTGTCGAACCTCCTTTTTTATTTATGAGGTCCACGTCCGTTTTATTAGATCTCATCGCATCATCGTTGTAATCCTGAAGGTCATGTCGTGTTTTGCTATGGTATATCCAAAGATCCAACGACGAATAACTACATTCTTGTGATGGATTATGCGGAAAGCTTTCACGAATACGTGATAGCAAGATCAACAAGGATACCATGGCCAAAAAAGCTGGCGATACTTTATGACCTCGCGTTAGGTTTGGCTGCGTTACATAGCAAGAGCATATTGCATCGAAATTTCCATCCGGGAAATATATTTTTAGATGCGAGACACCAAGGGTACACTTGCATTAGTGATATAGGTCAATATTATCCGCCAGATAAGGATTCTAATAGCAAGAAATTGTACGGTGTTTTACCTTATGTTCCACCCGAAGTCTTGCTTGGTACGGCTTTCACCAGCGCCTCAGATATCTATGGGTATGGCATGATCATGTGGGGGGTCTCCACGGGACGACGGCCATTCGCTGACCGACCACATGACCAATCCCTTGCCTCTGACATATGCAATAGTCTACGGCCCAAAGCAGCAAAAGGCACGCCGCCTTCGTTTGTCAGATTGATGAAAAAGTGTTGGGATCCCAACCCATCAAATCGTCCGGACGCGACGGAATTGATCGGTGTTTTGGAAGATTGGCTGAAAGAACTTCATAATGACAATGAGCTGTCCGACATTCGAGCGGAATTTGAAGCGGCGGAGCAACATAGGACAAACGGCACTTCTTCCGCACCAAGTTCCCCTTCCATGTTTCATCCCCTCGCAATATACACTAGCAGGCTATTAAATTTCTCAAATTTGAAAGTGTGGTGAAAAACGGGAACGGATAGAATTTTTTAACTTTTTTTTTTTTTTCCTCCTCAATTATGAATTCATCCCAGTATGAAAATTCTATCTTGTTAGACTTAATAAATTTGTATAGAATTCATTCTCATAAATTATTGTAACCATAGATTAAGGTTTAGTCCTTTTTGTAACATCATAAAATACCGCGTCTATCAAATAAAAATTTCGCATTTTCACATGATTTGAAGTGAATGAATCAAATTTATTATGACTGACACCATGCAGACCTTTGTTAAGAGTTCAACCAATCTCCAAAAAAGAAATCCTTTCACGATCTCTTGCAGCATACAATCAATCCTAATAAAGCACTTCATTAAAGTCTTCTTGAAAAAGGAAACTCTGCCGAAACTTCATGTAAAAAAAGGTTTATGCCGAAATTATGTTTAAGGAATTTTCTTTTTGTGAAACGTATATGGTTTATCAATCAAATGATGATCGGGAATTTGTTAAGAGATTTGGTTTGTATGATTTTTATGTTATCCGAATTTCTCGTGAAAATAAATTAAATAAATTATAGAATGAAATTTTACCCTTTGATCCCTTCAAAAAAAAAAATCGAATAGGTAAAAAAAAAAAACTTTATAAAAGTGTGAATAATTTTGCTTTTCATCATTTCCCTACCAAAAAACCGACATATATCTTAACGATAAATAAATCATCACCTTCATTTTCGATGTGAAGTGAGAAAATTATTTTTTTTTTTCTGAGCTCTGGTGAAGAAAAAAAATGATTTTCTTACAACGGGTTTTTTCTTGTAAGGAAGGAATTCTTCGAATGAGGATTTCGACGGTTTGTCTTTTTGAATTCTCTTGAGGGATTAATTAAGGACTTTGGGAATAATTCATTTAGGAAGGTTCCCATTCTTATTTTTTATTTATGATACTTTTTTTTTTTTAATCTAGTTAAACCACAACCAACCTCTCACTCATTAACGACAAGACATGGGGGATTTATTTTTTCTTATTACAGTAATGAAACATGTGGTATGTAATATTTCAACCTAACATTGCATTGTTTGGATATGATTTCACCGCGTTTTTAAACTCCGCGTTGTGTCACCATAGATTTTTTTAAAAGAAAAAATTCCCCATGGATTATTATTTACCGACGATACATGTTATCGTAATTCATTTTTTTTTATTTTATTATTTTATTTTCGATTAAAACAAACATTTGAAGACTTTTTCATATAGAACTTTTTCTTATCAAAAACAAACATTTTTCACGTAGACTGAATTATTATTATTTTGTTTTTTTTTTTTGTATTGAAATCTCAGCTGCGTTTTTAAAAATAGCTTATCATCTGGCTCGAGTCAGACAGATTTCGATTTCATTACTAGAGCTCTTTTTTATCGCGTTTTCTTTTTTATATACTTTTTCGAATATAATTTTTTTTTCACGACTTTTTTTTTTCGTTAAACTACGGAACGTACAAAAATATCCAAATATTAGATTAGTTAGACACGAGATAATTTATGACCAATTACATATGAACAATTAATATATAAAAACTATACTTTCGCACTTTTTGCATGCATATTGTAAATAAATGCACCTTTTTTTTTTTTTTTAAAAAAAAAAGGGTTTCTAATCTTTAAAACGCGTCGATTTGATTTGATTTTGTTTGCTGCTGTCTTTTTTTTTTCAAAAAAAAAAATCCTGATGTTTTTATATCGTATTGATTCATCGCTAACAATCAAGTAGGAAGGAGAGAAAAACAAAAAAATAATTTTTTTTTAATGTTGGTATTCGAAATACCTTGTGTCTAACATCTCGTGAAATGCATGATAATCACGTGTTCGATGCTAATTTTTCAAACGTACATTTTTTTCCTGGGGAAAACTTATAACCGATAACAAAACAGATTTTTTTTTTTAAAAAAAATTACTTTACGAATAGTGAGGATTCGGCTCCGTATTTATTTCATTTTTTTTTTATATTCCTTTCAAGAAGATAATTATAATTTAGATCACGAGAGAGCATGTGAAATGTTTTCGCGGAGCCCAGCTTTTTTTCAGTTGGAAGTTCCTGCTTTCTACATGTGGCTTTTACTGTGTGACATCGGATTTTGCATGATGCAAGAATGCAGGCTTCGATAACAACCAGCAAGCATCCTTGTGAATTTGAAAGGGCGCAAGAGAGGAGGGAACTATCGTTAGCATTTGATTGAATTTGGCAAAGTAGACTCAAGGGTGAGGTGAGGGTGCATTGAGATTCGAGCCATATGGCCCATGGAATTATTGAACAAAATCAGGATTCCATCATTACTTACCCATTGTTCTTCTTTGAATTTGTCTTAATTGTTCATGATTACTATTGTTCTGAAAAAAAAAAAAAAAAAAAAAATGGAAAGAAAGAAATCACGTAATCTTGGCATCCACAAGGTGGATGTAAAAACGCTCAATATATTTTTGACTTGGATAATGATGTTACCAGAAATTTCGAAAACTCGGATAAACAAATTTTTGAAAAAAAAGTCGTTATATGACGAAACCTAAAACGAAATGGGAAAACTCGGTTAAATTCAAAACCAGTAATTGGTTAATCAATTCAATGAAACAAGCATCATTAGTTAAATATCAAATATATATATATTATTTTTTTTTTATTTAAAAATGGTTATCAATCGTATTTTACCAAATTGTATTTAACATCGTATAGTTCGATTGACAGATTGAGTAAATCTTTTTTTTTTTTAACGGCGTCAAGCTTCAACGCCGGATTGCTTAAAAATAAAAAATTTTGATTGTATGCAATTAAATACGAAGAAATAAAGGTAATTCGTCAAATTGAAGACCCTTAACTGCATCCCTATCCAATTATATCTGCAACCCCTGAGGTATAATAGATAAACATCGTTCCCTAACCCATTTTGGATGTTAATTCTATGGTATACATTATAAAAGATTAAAGGTTTTTTAATTTTCTTTAATTGCTTATAACAAGCTTACTTGATACCTTAACCAGAATATTTAATTAATACATATATGTGTGGTGTGTGTGTTTTTACATCTATTAAATACAACCTTTAAAAAATACTGTAAATATATCGTTAAAAATTTTACAATGACAAAAGTGACAAGATGCGTAAGGTTTTAGTCGCGTCATGACGTCGCACAGGCGTGGTATTTAATCAATCACGTCATGCTTATAAAATAAAGCTTACGTAATGATCCAAAAATGTTTATGTAAGCCGATGAATGAGGCCGTCACGTGCTCGGACGGAAATTTCTTTTTTTAAAGTTCCTCCCTATCAGGTTTAAACAAAACAATTCTTTTTATTATATAGAAAGAAAATCTTATTTATTAAAAGAACTTCCAAATTAGTCGTCTTCCCTACATCCGATATCTGTCACACCATTAAACTTGAGTAATTAATAAACACACCCAAAGATGAAATCTATCACCATTATTAATAAAATTATCATTAAATAAATTATGCAAATAAATGCAAAATGTTCTTTTGGAAATGCTATTTGAAAAATGAATAAATTATTATATATGCACATATAATTAAATTATGCAGATTAAAAGAATATACTCGTAAAACGCCAGGGAATACGCCACTTATCTACTTTTAATATCTCACTGAAATACAACAACACCGATTAATTAGTAATAATATTTACTCTCTTTCAACTTTGAGAATCTAGTTGCTTCCTTCATTAATCTCGCTCGTAGCTGTTGAATCTCTAATTGGGAATACTCCCATTCTTTTAAGGCGTAATTATCCAACTCTTCGTACTTCCACATAAGCATGCCTAAATCAGCTTGCAGCACTCTTAATTCGGTATCCAGATAAGCTTCCTCTTGCATGAGTTGTTCTTCCAATTCTTTTATATGAGATTTGTGCTGGGATAAATGAACATCCTTATATTTATGATATTTCTCTATTTCATCTAATATCTTGTGAATTTTTTTCAGGTATTCGGCTTCCGTGACACAAATTATTTCTCTCATCTCATCAATGGATTTTAGTATCCCGTTGAGATTCTTGTGATATTTTTTTCTAAAGTGTATCGCCTGATGTTGTTTTGTCGTGATGTCTATAATTAAATCTTCTATTATCATGCAATATTTTTTCGGTATGGAGGAATTACCACGCAGTTGGATTTTTTCAGAGATGGATGATGAACTTGCATATGCCGTCGAGGATAATGATTTTGTTGATGAAATTAATGCCTGTTCTGTACCATCGTCGGAAATTTCATGATCAAGGAGACCTCGTGTGTAATATTTACCGTAAAGTTTTGATAGACCGTACCCCCCAACCAATGTTAACATAGCCACTGAAGCAAAGACTTTCAAAGAGGACATTTATTTATATGGATTGTACTTTATTTTATTTTGGTGATGTTTAAAAGTAGGTTTTAACTTGAAATCGCTAAAGTACACAAGGAAAAAAAAAATATTCGTGTGAATAAAAAAAAAATTATTTCAACCCCAAGTAAATAAAAAGAAAAAAAAATTTTTTTTTTTTTTTTTTTTTTTTCTTCGCAGTATCAGATTTTCTCACATTTTAAAATACGTATTATGACAGATTACAATGATAATGGAGATTTCCATTGTCCGACACCATTCCCTAAACTTAATAGCCTTGGTCGTATTTGTCTCACTCGGTGCAGTTTAATCATGAGCCAATACATTTTTTAATCAAAATCCAATAAATTTATTTAGATAGTAACCTTAAAATTCGGATTCGGTGATAGAAAATCCACTTTGCACAAATTTTCAATTGGATGTAAGATTACTTTGGAAAAAATTTTTTTTTTTTTTTTTTTTATACATGATGAAAATCATGTTATATTTAAATTACACGATCTCTTTACACAAACAAAAACGGAATTCACCAACGAAAGTTGGGTTCTAGATTCAGAATTAACTCTTTTTTTTTTTTTTGTTTACAAAACAAATTAAAAATGTATAAACTTTAGTACGATATGATAACAGAAAGAAAAACATTTGAA